AAATTATTTGTATATAAATATTAAATATTATAAATATTTTACTAAATTTAAACATCTAAAGATAATCTGAAACATCTCACATACATTATACGCTGCATAACTAATTTACATAACATAATTTATAAAGTATACAGAAAAAAATATTAATTCCGTAAATAAAAAATATTAAACAAATAACGGTTAATAATAAATTATTCATTTTATAATTCTTTACCATCTCCCGATGTCTTCTGGAGCCAATTTCCCTTTTTATTACTTATAGCGTTCATTCATTCATAACAAAACTTGTGGGAAAAACTGATTAATTAAGATCAATATGCACATTAATTGCCAAAATAATAATCGCCCGACATTTTGTAAAGCATTTACAAGTTAAAGCAACGTTAATCGCACATTTTATTATATCAAAACAGGAGATTGGCGTAAGAAAAGTACAATCGCACGAAAGATTATATGTTTTTTTTATTCCTGCAGAATTCTCTTTCTCGTTTTTGCCAAATATTAAACATATACCTATCTCATTTTAAGTTTCAAAAGTTTACATTAATTCAGCCATAAAAGACAGATTTTATCTTAGGATCTCCTTAATGCCAATAAGTTTTGTGAACCTTGTCTCTTCACTTTATTAATAATTTGATTGTTTGCCCTTAATATTGTATAAGGTGTCTATAACATAGACGTCTACATAGACACTTTATACAATAGTTTACGTTGTCTATACATAAATGTGGAATATTACGTATTTACACGTAGATGCACGCCCTGAATAATATTCGATTTTTAAATAAATTATTTTAATGTTATCGTCCGAGTTAGATTATCAATAGAGATGATAACAGTAGCGAAAAAAAATTATAATTTTGAGACAATATATGAGATATTATAGCATTATAAGTACGTTTATTTATGCAGCATTTATATAATAAAAAATTATGACTATAATAATGCATTTAGTATTATTCAAATATTATTATGAATAATCGCAAATTTGTATCAATTGTCGATAATGTCATCGTTCTTCAATTATCTTCGGCTCCTCAGGATCGAATCAGGTCGAGTACTTCTCATGAAGACTTATCGACCGATTGACAACGATTCTTCGTTGCTCTGCGTCAACACGTTAACCTGTCTATAGTGGTTTTACTTAGTTTTTACTTGAAAGGAAATAGGTTTTTTATTAAATAATAAAAAAATGGGTAGTGGCGATGAAGTGCCTAATATCCAGTTTAAGAAGAAGAAGAAGAAACCTTTAAGGAAACGCGAAGTTTTTTCAGATGATAATGACAGCGAGGAGGAAAAAATGTCTCTCAGGTAAAGATTGTACATATTTTGTTTTTAATTCAACATAAGCAATGTGGAGGATTTAACGTGATTAGGAAAAGACTTATTTCAGGGAAAAGGTTGAGGAGATGAAAATCATTCAAAAACTTCGTGAGAGACCTGCTGGTGTTGATGTTGTTGGTTTGGCTCTCGGAGAAAACGTTGCATCTGATGCCATAACAGTAAGATACAATATGCACATATATAAAGTCTATTTTTTATTTCTGTATTTTTTGAACTGATGCACACGGTGTAATTAAAGTGAAACTTATATTTGTTTCACTTCAACTTATTGTATCAGTTCAGAGAATACAGGAATAAAAAAAAGAACTTATACATGCATAATGAAATTAAACACAATAAACACAGTGTAGAATATGTAATATGAAAAATGATCTATGTTAATTTAGTCAGATCCTTTTAACATGAAAACTGGAGGAATGATAAATATGGCTGCACTGAAAAATACAAAACACAAGCCAAATGATGCATATGAAACTGGCATTGGAACGCAGTTTAATGCAGAGACTAATAAACGTGATGAAGATGAAGAAATGTATGCATGACAGTGTTTGCTTCTTTATTATATTTATTGTTGATAATTATTCAGCTAACATATTAATAGTTTTTTGCTTGTTTATGTTTTATATCAATTTTATATCATTACTTTTATTAGGGTCAAGTACATAGAAGAAGAATTGTCAAAGCGTAAGAGTAAAAATAGTAACGATGCAGTGAATGATGCGAATAATGAAAAAGGTTCTTATTGCTCACCTGAAGAAGCAGCGTTGCGCGCGGTACCAGAACATTTGAGACAAAGCTCAGCCAATCGTAGTGAGGAAATGCTTTCAAATCAAATGCTTTCTGGTATTCCAGAAGTTGATCTTGGCATAGAGTGAGTGTATTTGCACAAAGAATATAAATTATAAATATATTTTGCAAGTATGAAAATAATTCTATGAAGTTGAAACTTTAATCAATTAGTTATTATACTATATGATAACTATTTAGTATTAAAATAATTTGTAATGTAAATTTTAAAATGTATAAGATGTAGATATTTTCTTTACAAATTCATTTTTAGAGCTAAAATTCGTAACATTGAAGCTACCGAAGAGGCAAAACTGAAACTTCTTTGGGACAGGCACAGAAAGAAAGATGGACCCTCGCAGTTTGTTCCTACGAATATGGCCGTAAATTTCGTGCAGCACAACAGATGTATGATTATTATTTTTCATAATTGTATATGAAATTATACGATACTCTTCAATTATTAATTAATTAAATTTATTAATTAGTGAACAGTCCCATGCATTTTATTTCTCTAAATTTGAATTCTTCATGTTTAGACAAAATTGTAAATGAAATATTTATTATAATTTCAGTTAACATAGAAGATTCAGATTTCCACAAATCACAGCAGGAGTCTGGTGATAAGAAAAAATGCACTACCAAAGAAGATATCCGAGGAAAACGAAAAGACAATGGGGAGAAAGCAACGGACGATTACCATTATGAGAGATTTAAAAAGCAATTCAGGCGATTTTAAATTAAATTGTGTTATTGTGTTATTATACCTTTTGGATTATATCTAAACGTTGCATTTTTAACATAGATGTTTTTTAACTGCAATTCAAAGTTAAAGAACAATGAAATATTACATCATAGTTTTATTTTCATTTGCATATATTATTCACATCAAAGAGTTTAAAAAAAGATTTATTCTCATTCTCGCTACCTCTTATATTCTGTTGATGATTCACAGTTTTTCAAAAAATGTAACAATCTAATTCTGATATTTCTTATCGAAAAATATTTTTTGATAATTTTAGGATTTTGTGAAGAACTTGGAAGATATGTATTGAAATATAACTGCTATTAATTATTTTATTACTGTGTAGTAAATAGTAATTATTACTATAGTAATAATATATAGTAATAACTATTATATGTGTAGACTGCATTCACTCACGAGCTGTAAGCTTCATTCTTTACTATTCATTATTTGCAGAAGGAAGATAGAATGAAGCTTTCAGCTCAAACATAGCCATATTATGTATAATAGTATAATATTATACAGGATGAGGCAATAACTATAACCAACTTGAATATCTTCCAAACTGTGAGAAAATTTTAGAAAATTTTATCTAATAGAAATTATAAGATACAGAAGCAATTTTATTATGACAACAAAACACTTTTTTTTAGACGAAATAACCTCGGAGACTAGGATCTCTTTTATTTTTTAAAATAAAATTATATAATTTTTTTTAATTATTTTAATTATTGTACAATATAATTATATCATTCTTCTAATTATTCGATATATATATAAGTATAAAAATATATCAGAGTACAGAATTATAAAAAAAAATCAGTTTACGTGGTATTTTATGTTTTTTTTCTGGTACAATATTTGATATAGGAAATATAAAATATCTCGTAAATTATTTTTTTTGTGATAAATTGGTATACCTTAATGCTATACAGAAAATAAATGCAAATTGTATAATCGAATTGCTCATTGCACAAGATCTTCCTTATTCTCATCAGACGTGTCAAATTTTAATGAAAGTGTCAGGTTTCAAGAAAGAGACAGAGAGAATCTCGTTAATATCGCGTGGAAGCTGCTTAAAAAATTTCCGACTTTATTCATATGTCTCTCTACTATGATCATGCGCGCTGCATTCTGGACCAATCGGAGTAACATTAGGGGAAGGAAGAAAACGCTGGCGGCAAGAGAGAGGGGAGGATTTTGCGCTATCGCGTATATATACATATATTGATATTATACATACGCGCTATATTGCAAAGTACGAGAGGCACGTCGACGTCAGTCATTCGACTGCGTGAAGCTCACGGTTTTTACGCATAGTGGCTGTAGTTACGTTGACGTGTAATTATGAGTTGTGGATTCGTCACTTGCGGCCCAAACGAGGCTCTCGTCGTCTCAGGTAATGGAATAAAGAGTCTCCTCTGAACACGGATATCTCAATCTCTTGCGTTTGTATTTTTTCCCGAATTAATTGCTTTCGTAGAAAAGAGAAAAAAAAATGGAAGAAGCGCTTGAGTCTCCTAGATAATTGATCCGCGTTTCGAAACGGCGGTGGGGACGCGAGATCGATTCTCGCGAATAACCGCACCTATACTGTGCTTTGATCGCATTAGAAATTTTATTGTATTAGATTATCGTCTGCTATATGCGAATGATTGAATACCGATTGTATACACATAGAATTATGTGCAGCTGATTCTTTTATTTATATTAATATTGGCTGAATCAAAAACATTTTCCTTGCAATTCTCCGTATTGTCAATTTTCTACTTCTATTATTTTATATTAACTGCTTCTTCTAGGATGTTGCTACAGCAAACCTCTCTTAGTACCTGGAGGTCGAGTGTTTGTTTGGCCCCTTGTGCAACAAGTACAAAAGTGAGTGTCATATAAGTTTTCAATATATAGACATATAGCATGCAATAAGCCTTCTTTGGCTTAAACGTATTTTGCTTTTATAGGATTTCTTTAAATACAATGACCTTACAAGTCGAGAGTCCAACAGTGTATACTTGTCAAGGAGTTCCAATATCTGTAACAGGTATTGCACAGGTAGTTAAAAACAAGTGGTTTTTATATATATTTTATATATATTTTATGTCTACAAGATAATTATATCTATTTACATGTACATTGATATACATGATCCGAAATTAGATCTAAAATGATTCATATAAAGATGATTGACATTTATAACATATAAAAATATAAGTTATAAGGTCAATAAATAATTCTGGAAATTTTATTGTATTGATGTATATATAATATATAAATTTTTGAAAAAAGAAAACTTTTTAAATGTGTTATAAAGAACTTTAAATGAACTTAGCATTTATAGATTTCAAAATGTTGTATTTGTATCAGGTAAAAATTCAGGGACAAAATGAAGAGATGCTATCTACAGCGTGTGAGCAGTTTCTTGGAAAATCTGAAGACGAGATACATAATATAGCTCTCGTCACTCTAGAAGGACATCAACGAGCTATAATGGGTAGTATGACTGTAGAGGTAAGCTGAACGCAAACATAAATTATCCTAAATTGTTATCTATTAAAGATTATATATATAGACTTATTCTTTGCTGCAGGAAATTTACAAAGATCGTAAAAAGTTTAGCAAGGAAGTCTTTGAAGTAGCGAGCAGTGATCTAGTCAATATGGGCATTACTGTCGTATCGTACACATTGAAAGATATCCGAGACGAAGAAGTAAGTTTGCTACATTTCTAATTGTAAAATAATTTAAAACAGGTTGCTGATTTATAAACACACAAAAATGTATGAGTCAAACACGTAAGCATCCAAAATCTTTAATTCAAAAAAATAATGCTGATAACATGTACAAGTCATAATTGAATTATTGAAGTGTACATAGTGTACATAATGTACATAAATATATATATACAGTGATATTTAAAAGACCCCCTTTAGACAATTTAATAATGTTTGTCAATAATTGATACGTGAGTATAAACTTTTTAAGTAATTAATATAATTAGATCTTGTATATTGTAAATATTGAATACTTTTTTGTTCTGCTACTTGCAGGGGGCAAAGGTACGTTCAAATTTTTATTTCACTATTAAACTAATATTTCATTTGTTGTACGACAAATTTTTTAGGTATATTGATTAGTTACAAGATAGAAAATTTCTGGAGACAAGACTTCTCTATTTTGTAGCTTTACTTGACAAATTATCATAGGATAAATGAAATATTAGCCTTGTAACTGATATCACAGCGCACACCGCTATGTCTTCTAACAATATTATTGTAAATTCTTCAGATCATAAAAAGACAAATTTTCATTGCTTTATATTACAACACTTGTGCACTTGTTGCTGGTTCATTACTGAGATATCTTTAAATGGTAAAATATGAAGATATTGTTATCTTATTTTTTAAATATATAATTTTAGAAAAATAAAAATAACAATATAATTTTTGCAAATGTCTCTTAACATTATGTTAAATAATATATAAAATATTATTTTATTCCCCATGTATCCTCAAATTTTTCTATTTAAGAAAAGAAATCTCAATAATTGAATTGAAGTAACGATATATACTTATATATGTTGCTTTATATTCACATATTGCTTTCTCAAAATGCTGAAATCATTTATTAGTTATTGTATTATTGTAAACTTTATCACGTTGTGTAATAATTTTATCAGAATATATTACTTATAGGGTTATTTACAAGCACTCGGTATGGCACGTACAGCAGAAGTGAAGAGAGATGCTAGAATAGGTGAAGCAGAAGCTCGCAGAGACGCTCAAATTAGAGAAGCTATCGCGGAGGAACAAAGAATGGCTGCACGTTTCCTTAATGACACAGAAATTGCAAAAGCGCAACGTGATTTTGAATTGAAAAAGGCTGCTTATGATGTTGAAGTTCAAACCAAAGTAAGGAAATTTTTAATGCTTTTTGTATGAAATGTTTTTTATATAGTTTTTTTTATAAAGATATTGCTTGCAGAAAGCTGATGCAGAAATGGCATTCGAATTGCAAGCAGCAAAAACTAAACAAAGGATTATGGAAGAGCAAATGCAAGTAAAGGTTGTAGAACGTAGTCAGGAGATCGCCGTGCAAGAGCAAGAAATGTTGAGACGCGAAAGGGAATTAGATGCCACTGTACGACGTCCTGCTGACGCAGAAAAATACAGGTATTTGATAATGCTTAAAAGTGAAACTTTCGTTGCGCACATTGATTAAGATTTGATTTGTAGATTAGAGAAAATGGCCGAAGCAAATAAACTGCGTCTTGTTATGGAGGCTGAAGCTGAAGCCGAAGCTATTAAGATTCGCGGTGAGGCAGAAGCCTTCGCTATCGAAGCAAAAGCTAAGGCAGAGGCAGAACAAATGGCAAAGAAAGCTGCGGCGTGGAACGAATACAAGAGCGCAGCCATGATAGACATGATGCTTGATACACTTCCAAAGGTATATAAATCTTTGCAACATTTAAAAGCGCTCTAATAATAGTAAATATTCTAATTTCACTCATTTTATAGGTTGCCGCCGAAGTAGCCGCTCCTCTTTCTCAAGCAAAAAAGATAACTATGGTTTCAAGTGGTAATGGCACTATTGGTGCCGAAAAACTAACCGAGGAAGTTTTCAATATTGTACAGCGTGTTCCAGATCTTGTTAAAAATTTGACGGGCGTGGACATTGCGAAGGTACGCATAAAACTTATGATTGTTTGCTTATAAAAATCTAAGATAAAATTATCATTCATAAATTTTCTTTTTCAGTCGGTACACGCTGCGTAAATGTGCGATATGAAGGAAAATTGAATAATTTTCCTAGTCAAATGTTTTTCAATGTACATTTATAAAAAAGTATTTAATGGATTTTTTTGTTATATATACATTTGCTTTAAACATCTTGCCCTATAATGAAGGCCAAGTTTAATTGAGTATTGGAATTTCTGTATTATGAAAATTTAACACTTTCACTGCCATTTTATAATATCTATGTAGATTATTTGTGTATGTGATCCCAAATTGATATATTTTACTTTCGAAAGTTAGTTAACCAGTTAGTGTATAAATGATCTTTTATTTTTATTACAAAAACTTAAACAAGGCTGAGCCATAAAATGCGTTTGAAATACTTTTATTTAAAACACACTATTTGCAACACAAATGTATTTTGTATTTCAGCGAAGCATATGAAGATATTACGTATTCTATAGTTTCATGTGCTTCACTAAAATGCAAAATACAAAATACAATTGTCTTACAAATATTGTTTTTCAAATAAAAGTATTTTGAATATATGTTCAGTCGTGATTTTAAGAATACAGTACAAGAAAACGCTACAAGAAATTTCGTTATTTGTTAATTTCAATTTTATTAGACAGTGAAAGTGTGGCATAGCATTACTCTCGCTTATATTACTATACTCTATTCAACGAGAGAATGACCTTGGTTTGCGCATAGCAGGCAATGTAACGCTGTACAAGATCTGCTATTACAAGATCTGCGCAAAATGGACGAGTTTTCGAGAGCATTCTCTTGTTAAACAGAATATAATATTATTTTTATACCAATGACTTTTTAATTAGCGTTTTCTCTTGGAATACACTGAGTGCAGCCTCGTACCAGTTGCGTGTAAGCGCTACACTACATTAGAGTGATGCACATGAGTGGTGTACACTACATCATTATTGCGCTAAAATCCTGTTTCCTTGACTTCCATTTTCAAATTTTAAATATCATACTGACTCTACATCGTCCCTTTGAGACGGTGTAGCAAAATCCCACTTCGTACATAAAATTTGCACTACGCCATGAAAACGGTACATCGAATGAGTTCGTTTACCACCATGGAAACACAGTACATTGAGAGTTGCACTAGTGAGCAGCCAAGAGAAAACGCTACAAGATTTTATTAACTACTTAATATATATTTTCCTAACTCAACATATTTTTAAATAAAAAAAAAAGTGTGTGCATTCTCTCTGTCGAATCTCTTGAGGGCCGATAATGGTCTCCCTGTTTATCTATAATTCTATGCCAATATGTGCCGAATGCCATTTCTTCAGATATTCTATTACATGTGTATCTTACAAATATAATTAAGCATCTGTTTAGAGATGAAAGTAATGTATTTAATATCGTTCACATAAAGAGATCTTTCTTCTAATCCTTGAGATAAATTTATATGTAACATTTGGCGTAAACATTCTATTTTCTGTATACGATACAAAATGAAAGAAACAGTAATATATTTTATCCCATGACTTTTATATATATAAAAGTCATATAAATTACTATGATCCAGTCATTTATAAAAAGTCGTATAGTTGTAACTTTTGAATAAAGCTTCTGACTACATGCATTTACTGACCGACATAAAGCTTTAATAAAACGAATATATATTCGATTTTTTGTGTAAAATAATGACACAAGTAAATATTACGAACATAATTTGTATGTCTCTTCTTGCTCATTTTATTCGTTCTACAATATATTACAATTATAATTTGTAATTATTTTTAAGTGTTTAATGTCCATTTATTGTTATAATGCCAGTTTTTATCAATAAAATTATGCCTATTCATTATGCCTGTTTTTATTAATAAAATTCAAGTTTAATCTTGATTTAACTAACTCTTTATTTCTTTCTAAGAATTAGAAAAAGACGAAGAACAAATTGAACCGAATTTAAAGTTAATAATCTGCGTTGGTAGAAATGGGCATAAGATCGATGTTAAATTAACTTTATTTTCGCTGTAACTTACTTTTTTATTTTTTTTAAAAAGATAATCTTTTATATGAATAATACATAAAATTTGGTGGAATTTAACTTGGTTAAACAGTCCTCACATTCCTTGCGACAGACAAGATATCCAAGCTGAGAAAACGTCCAACGAAGACTTCAATATTTGCGTGCTGTCAGTTGTATTAAGCGATAAACAAACTTTACAAATATCAAAATCTTCACCAAGAAAAAAAAGTATCAGTCCTTTGTCGACAAAATGTTGTTCGACAAAACGGTTATTTCAAAGCAACGATTATTTATAACTTCTGGGAAGACACTTGTTAACAAGAATTATAAGCTGAAGCGAATTTTCTCGATTTAATAAATTCCCTGCCGGGAATAAATAAGCAAAACATTTATCGAAAACTGGGAAATTACACGTGATAACGTATCTCTTCAGTTTTATTTAGACCTATAGAACTGAAGAGATACGTGATCAGCGCTCGTAATTACCCAGTTTTCGATAAATATTCTTTGCTGGTGGACTTATGTTTTGCCTATTTATTATTACGGGCAATATTGCCGTAACTGAGCGTGGTGATTTCTCTTATATGCCTGTGGTGCGCACGCTAATACATATACAGTAATTGTATATAGTAATTGTACATATATAGTAATAAAGCACCTACAGTTTAACATCGATTCTAAAATGATTTTGTTTAGAGAAGTGTATTCTCGGTGGTTTGCTATTGCCTGCCGAGAGGAGTTACGAGCGTTTGAAAATTTTTCGATTTTGCTTGGGATCGAGAATCTGGAATTTTTGATATAGCAATCTCTGCGTTGCTTGCTACGCCACGCTCGTATTTGAAATTATTACAAGTGGAGAATATTCGACAAATGAGAAATTAATCACATAGTATCGCCAGTTCGAATGTACATAAAAGGCACAAAATCCTGACAAAAAATCTGCACTTAAACGAATAAAATGCTAATGTCTAAAAGAAAGTTGACCACGCAACCGCCCAATTTAAAAATGAAGAAACTTCAGCTATCTTCGATCACAAAAGGCAATAGCATAATAAATAAATAGCAATAAGGTAAATAGCAATAATAAATAAGTATATACTTAAAGTACTTAATATATACTATAAGTATATACTTAAATATAATACGCAAGATCTTTTGCAATGTATTAGGAATTTATCTGGCTTTACATTATATTTCAGAAGCTGGAACAACAGTAAAAATGTTGCCGATAACTTTTTGCATTCAAAAATGCATTACAATTATCTGTCTTATTTACATGTAATAATATGTAATAATATGTAATAATTCGTGTATCAAAAATTTAGTTAATTTTAATATAACATACTAGTAAAGATTTAAAAATTTTTTAGAGAAAACAGAAAATCTAAAAGTGGGAAATTGTGAAACTGAATGATTGCGCTCTACAAAAATAAAGATTTCAGATAAAGTTGTAAGTAAAATTGTATTTATTGTATTATAAACTAAAATTTAACTATACTATGCATATACTATACATTATTAACATTATACATATATATATATATAATAATAAAAATTAAATAATAGATATTCTGTATATATATTCTATGTATAATATATATTTTATGTATACTTTTTTTCACTTTTCTACAAAACTCATTTTTCTTACTTTTTTGGGTAGATTACTGTTACATTACTGTTCATAAATTCAGGAACGCTTGCAATTTACAAAATTTAAATATCTCGATGAAAAAAAATTGTAGAGAAATTTTTAAAAATGTAATGTAAAGGCAAAAAATAAATTTTCAAAATAGCGTTCAAATTTTTTTATCTGCGACTTTTTTCCAGAATTACTTATATAAAATTGAAACTTGATTTCAATATTTTTTGTTATTTATTGAAGCGCTATATCTGGAAGAAACTTTGTCAGATAAAATTTAACAAATAAACATTTTAAAATAGACTTTCTAAGTTTTAAAATGAAAAAATTGATATGATTTTTCGTATAGATATTGTATTTTTATTATTCTGCAAAATTTTATTGTGTAAAAATGTACTTTTTTACACAATAAAATTTTTTTTATTTTTCTAAAATGTTTTTAACTTCGGCATTAAAAGTTTGTGGGAAAAAATAAAAAGAGGAAAAATGTTTATTATAGTATGATTGATTCATATAATTTTTCCAAATTTTTATAAAAACTATTTTGAACATTAATTTTATAAAAATTGTTAACGATAAATCGAGAAAAAAATTTTTAAAGCTCTATTTTTTATCTTTTAAATTTTTGGAAACTTCTCTACAATTTTTTTTCACTGAGATATTTAAATTTCTGTAATTGTAAGAAAAAATTGTAAGAAAATTGCAAATTCTGAATTTATGAATAATAGTTCATATCAACATTAAAATTAAAAAAGAAAATAAAAAAGGATGTAGATATATATATTTATATATACATATATGAGTCCCTATATTTAGACTTGATATACATCCAATTTAGACTTGATATACATCGATTGTTAGACTTCTATGAAAGAAAAGTTTTCGCCCCTTACTATTGCGAATCATAGTAATCAAAAATAATTTTTATTGTAATTTTTTTTCTAATCCCGAAAAATTTTTCTAATTCGAAAAATTATGAAAAAATCAATAATTTTCCTCCAATCAAGAAACATTTTTTTTAAATTCACTAACTTATAATTGTCAATGTTTAAGTGAAAATAAAGTTTAATTTCATGTTTTTTTATAACAATATTTTCAACATTATTTACTTCAAATTATTGAGAAATTAGCGAACAGTACGATGACATCCACTCACATCGGCAGTGTTCATAGCAACTTTTCACTACTTTATTAATGAGAATATTTTATTTCAAAATTGGCCAAATTAGCGATGCGTACTATCGGACATACTACCCTTCCAAATTATTTTTAGATTTTTAATAAATCAATGAGAGAGAGATAAAAAATTGAAAATATAAAATTTTTTCAAGTTTTTGCGCAAATAGTAAATTAAACCGAAATTAAAGTTAATCTTCATTCATAGAAATGGATATTAGGATATTTTCGAAGAATTTTCAATTGTTTTAAATAGTATTTCTAGCAGACTGACGAAACAAGTGACTCAAGTAGCATAGTGGTTCTGACATTACATTTCTTTGACAGATAATGCAAAGATATGTAATATT